GGGTGAGCAACATAGAGGTCTGCACCTTTGACACCCAGCAGAAAGACTGTGCCCTGCACCCATGCCAGGCCAAGAGGTACACACCCGTGCTGACACTTATTCCACCAATGGTCTCTGGTGGCTGCTGGTGGACACTCTGGCTGCACCCACCAGACAGCAAATGTCTACACAAAGCTGAAATCTCAGAGCCACTGTCTGCAGCTAGTCTGGCCTCACCTCAGGCTGAGCAGTCATGGTCCTGCTCCATGAGCATCGGCTTCAGCCTACTGCTGGGGGACCCTGCTGGTGCCCACAGGTCCCTCCTCAGAGAAGCCCAGCCATCACAGACAGCAGGCTCTGCCTCGCTAGCCCCCATGGCTGCCCTGTGCACTAGGGGCTGACCCAAGTGAGTCGTCTGCAGGGCTGAGTTCACTCTTCTACCCGTCCCACGGAAGCCCCGTCTGCAATATTAACGACCCACGTGTGATCACTGCAGTGCAGACTCTTTCAATCATCATTAGCAGCAGGGAAGGCCTCAGACCTGGGCGCTGGGCCAGGTTAGTAAAACTTTCCATGAGAAAAGCTTTTGTTCTCCCCCAGAGCAGTCTCAGGAAAGAAGGGTGGAGGAAGGGAGCCGCTCACCACCCAGACTTGGGCAGACACGCTCCGGCCGCTGCGTCTACCTGCTTGTTGTTTTAATGACATCTAGACTCTGAAACCCAAGAGCTCATGAGGAACTGAAAGGCCTGATTGTGTCGGCAGCAAGCCCAGCTCTGCGGGGCAGCCATGTCCTTGCTGGGCTGGTGGGAGGTGCTGCCGTCAGACGGGTGTGTGTGAGCACCAGGGCAGAAGCCATGTGCCTCATATTTCAGAAAAAAAGCTCCCGCGAAGGTCCATGGAACGAGAGCGTATGCGCAGGAGCCACCTCCATTTACATATGATCAAGAGGAGGCACAGCTATCACCTAGTTTGGTTCTCCATGATGGGCTATCACAGACATGAGGCTACTAATGTAAAAACAGCTGTGCACCTTAAAAAACATGTTACAAAAACATTTACAACTGACATAACATGAGATCCACAAAACTAGTACTTTAAAATATGATGCTATGTGTTTCTGACATGCTTGAGAAGCTTAAAAGCTAAATCTTAAGATTATTGAAACAAAGAAGAAATTGTACCTGAAATTCACTTAGGGCCCAAGTACTTTTGAAACAAAAAAGACTGAAAAATAAAGAAATCAAAAAAAGAAAAAAAGCTGGAATTCACATTTCAAGGCTCACCTTCCTCAAGATACACAGAAAGTCTGGAAGTGCCTTCCCTCCTGCGGTAAGGCAGGCAAACTGAGCAGGTCTGCGGAACATGCTGTCCAGCACGGCCACCCTGCAGACTCTCAGTGGGCTGACACACCTCACCTACCAGATGCCCCTCACTCTGCAGCTGCTTGTGACACCCTAAGACTTCCCTTCTCATTCTACACTCCCAGAAAACAAAATCCAAACTCAAAAGAAATAACCCCCCACCTCCCCGTGCACACAAACCACAGGTTCTTCTAGTTCCTCCCAGCCCAAGCCTAAGGACCCTACTGCAACCACTGCTCCCAAATAGTCATTCAGGTGCCGCAAGAGGACTGGGAGATAACCCAAGCGTCTGGACAGCTGTGTGGGTGCTATGTGTGCTAGGGCGGCAGACCCCTTGGCTGGTGCCCCGTACCCTGGAGGGAGCAGCTGTCACGCCTGTTGCTTGGCTCAGGCACTTGGAGACCAGTCCTGGTGCCAGGCCCAGGCTGCAGGGCCACTCACAAGTGCAGTCGGGGTGTACACAGCCACACACCTGCCCCGTCCCCCTGTGTGAACTCGCCAACGCTAAGCGTTTGCTCTTTTACCCTCAAGGATGCCTGAAATCCACACAGCTTTGTTTTGCTTTAGTTTTTGTTGCTGTTCCCATGTCTCTCTATGCTACTTTCACTGGGTGCCAGGGGGAGCTCTCATCCCTCCTGAGGCCTGTTTCCCATGAGACGGCTGTGGGGAAGGGCCTGGGTGTCTCAAGATTGGGGGAATTAGTCAGTACATGTGCGGAGCAGCACTGTGCAGCTCACTGTGATGGACACTGAGCCACGTTGCACAGGGGCAGGAAGGATGGTGTGACTGCAGTGAGAGAGTGTGGAGGCAAGGCATGGCCACTCCTGAAGGCTGGTGACCATGTTCCAGAAAATTCTCTATGTCCAGGGGCCCCACTGGCCCCTCCTGCAATGAGCCTGGGGCCTGTGCTCCTGACTGGGATGCAGCTGAACATGCACTGACCAGTATTCTCAGGACCTGCTTCCCTGCACATGCCGGAGCCCTGATGGTGTCTCCGTTTGACAGATGAGTTTTCAAAACCCAGAACCAGGACAACACTGGGACAGGGGCCAACGAGAGGTCAGACTTCTGGGCCAGAGAAGTCATTTGAACTTTACAAACATGCCCAAGCTGAGGCCCACTCCTGCTGTGAGCCCAGCTTCCCTGCCCCACCCTGTCCCCATTAAGAAGGCACCAGCACTGAACTCCCATGCCCCCTGGAGCCCAGCAAGGTTTGGGCTCCTGGTTCCACCATCTCCCACAGGTCATCCTGCCCTGGTTTCTCCTGGCCTTCCTCAGTCCAGCCCCATAGATGCCCTAGCCCCTGCAAGAGAGCAAGTCCCAGGCTTGGAGAACCCCGGGCCAGCAGAGGTGGCCACAGATCCTCCCTGGTCCCCTGCTGATGCCATGTGCATTTCCTCATAAGGACAGGACTGCTGGAGGCAGCAGCCATCTGGGAGTGGAGGCAGAGCATGTATGCAGACAGCTTCGCTGTGAGAGGCACAGAGACCAAGGGTGGGCATGTCTGCTCTGGCTGGCCAAGGGGATGCTGGGCAGGGGCATCCAGCCTACAGTGCAGGGTTCCCAGGAACCCCCAAAGCCCACGATGTGGAGGCTGGGATGTGTGAGAGCTCATGTCTCCTTCACTCTGGGACTAGGATGCAGCTGCCCCACTGGCCTCTGAAGGCGTCGCTCCTAACACAACTCTCTGCTTGATTCCTGTGTGCATGGTTTAGCCAAGCGCCACCAGGTTGCCTGTGCCAGGCTGAGCCATAACCACATTGTGGCTTGCAGGGCCTCTGTGCAGCCCGTGCCACACAGCTCTGCTCTGATCCCAACCTGGCAGGCTTGGTCATAGCTGGCCCAGAATTATGCAAACTTAATAGAAACGAGACCATAAATTGCTGCTGCGGTAGAGACACAGTGTCATGCATCCATGGGCCAGCCTCGGGACCAGCTCTGCTCCTCCTGAGCATATGGTGGATAAGACATGTCCCATCATGGGAGCCGAGGTGGCTGCAGCTAGACTATGAGGTGGCCTCTCCTCTGGCTGTGCAGAACCACCCAGGGCTTTGGGATGGGTCACATCCACTGCAGAACCAAGTGGAAAGCAACCCTGACTGGGTGCCCAAGGAGAATGTCTAGGGATGAAGGTCGGGGGAATGGCCCCACCATCACTGAGAGGTTGCTGACCGAGCAGATGGGAGTTGGAGGGCTCCTCTTGAGAGTGTGGCCACAGGGCCTCAGGGCCTGAAGGGCTCTCTTAAGGAGCAGGACCCAAGCTTGCAGGCCAGAGTGCCACAGGCTCTTGGGCCCCACAAAGTCAGGCTGGCAGGTGTTGGGAGGGGCCTCAAGGGAGATGTTGGGCATCCTTGGACAGATGCTCTGGCCGCAGCCAACCTATGCACATCACAGGGGCTCACAGGCTGGTCCCAGATCCCCATGGTCCCTGCCACCCTCATGTGTCCCCTCTATGCCCACCCTGCCACCCTCATGTGTCCCCTCTATGCCCACGTGTGCCTGGTAGATAGGCCTGGGATGGTATCCTGCTCTCACAACTTGGATGGGCCCAGTGACAAGTGACAACAGTCCAGCCCTGGCCCACCAGGCCAGAAGGCTTCTTGGCATGACCAAGCTCACACCACAGCAAAGGCACTTGGCCCAAGGGCTAAACATTCTTGGGACTCTTCCTCCCAACCAGGTGGGCAGCCCTGACCCCTGAGGCATAAGGAACCCCCAATCCACCAGCTCACAGGCCTGTGCTGGACCATGGATCTGAGCCCAGGAGGCTCTGCCTGGACCAGCTTATGCAGCAGCTGAGGGCGTCCAGGGGAACCAGGTGCGAAGTGTGTGCGGCCCTCTTCTGAATGCTCTGCCCAAAAGACCCCACGAACAGAAGAAATGCTTAGAAACTTACAGAACACAAACACCACGAAAACTCAAGATTTACAGAGACCCCTGTGGTCCAGGACATGCAGCACTGTCACTGAGGGAAGCCCCACTGAGGGAGCTGCAGGGCCTCGGCCACGGGGCACCTGCCCCAGGTGTCCGGGAAACAGCTGCACCTGGAAAAACTGGCCGTGCCTCAGTGTATGCCTACCACTCCTGCAAAATCCCACACTAGCAGGGAACACTCACTGAGCTGCCTCCTGAAGAAACCAGCAGGGCTCTGGTCATGGGCTGAATGCCACATGCAGAGAAGGTTCAACTCTAAAACACAAACACACATGGGGACAAGTGTCCTCTTCTCACACCCAGAGGTGGCCTGGCCATAGATGCCCGAGGGTGCTTCCTTTCTGACAACCCTGAGGAGCCATGTCTGTTGCCTCTGCTGGGGCTGGTAGTGCAGCAAACACCACCCTATCCTCCTTCTCTGCCCAGTGGGCTCCATTGTTTAAAACCCTTCACTAGACTCCAGAGGCTCTGACAACTGAACCAAGGGCTTGCCAGGCTGCACTCCTGGCCAGGACTCTGAGCACTAGCTAAGCAGCTTAGTCCAGCTTTGGCTGGAGAACCTGGGCACCCTCATCTGAGCCTCTGAGCCTCAGACAGGTTTCATGAAAAGCTACAGCCGAAGGATGAGCGATCACTGATGAGCTGCCTCCAGCGTCTCGCCAGCGGGGGCGAAGCCACTGCCCAACAAGATGCTGCTGTGGCGCTAGCGGAGCCGTTTCCCTCACCCCAGGCCCGGCCTGTGGCTGCCTCCATCAGCCAATCTGTATGCCCCTCCGAGAGCTCACGGCCGCAGCTCCAGGGGGCACACAGCTGCACGGCCATGGGCACTTACCGTCGTCCAGGTACAACTGGTCCAGCTCTCCAGGTTCTCGCTTGACCATTACAGGAATAAGGGCCAAGTTACCACCACTGTCCTCACGCACCTCTGGCAGGGACTGTGGCCCGGTGGTTGAAGACTCGTTCCTGTGAACCTTCGGCAGCAGGAGCTGCTGGCGGCCCATCGCGGGCGGGTGCGCTGGGCTGCAGGGCTGCAAGCAGGTTGGCTCTTGGGTGGCAGGCGGAGGTGGGGAAGAGGGGCTGACGGGGCAGAACGTGTGCTGCCGACCCAGGGGGCAGCTACTGCCCAGATGGGGACTCACCTGCGGCTGCAGCATGGCGGGGGGCGGCTGCTCAGGCGAGCCTGGGTGCCCAGCCATAGGTCTTGGCACGTCCTGGGCGGTGGGGACCTCTCCGGCTGGCTGCGGAAGTCCCAGGTGACAGTGACCTGGGCTGTTGATGCCCTTGGTGTAGGCGGCAGAAGAAAGGTCATGGAGCTCTGGGCTTGCACTGGGAGGTGTGGGCACCACGGTGCCTCTCTGTGGACAGAGGGGGAAGCCGGCCACAAGGCAGGAGGTAGGGTCAGGTGGCACTGCGAGCTGCTGGCCATAGTAGGGCCTTGGCAGAGGACTTAACCCCTGGCTCACTGGTCCACAGGCTGCCACAGGTTCATAATCATCAGACGGCTCTGTTTTTATAACTGGAACTGTGAAGAGAGAAAGAAGTTAAATAAACACAGTTGCAGATGGTAGGGCTGGGACACCCTCTGCAAGGCAAACAGTGTTGTGACTGAGTCCCTGTGTGTGCCGGTCCTCCCGCCCAATTAAAGTAAAGGGTGAGTCATCGGCTCAAGAAGTTGCAGCTGGCTCTAATCCCAAAGAAGATGACTTTCCCTGGAATCCCCTCCAGCACCAGTGTGCTGTAAAAACCTATTTGCAATCTGCAGTGGGAGCTTTGGGCCAAAGGGTCTGTGGATTTGCAGTGATCAAAGCGAAATTTTAACTTGGATGTACTACTGCATTTCTGCTACTGATGCTGTTGATAAACGCCTGCACATTTGGCAAACCTGAATACACTGTAAGATGGCTTTTCAAAGTCAGTAAAACCCAGCTGAAAAGACAAACGATGATTGGATGCAAAAGAGAAGCTGTTAGTCCTTAGAGAAGAGTGGATGACCCTCCCTCCCCTCCCTGCTTCTCTCCCGGATGGTTCCAGAGAGAGCACGGGGTGGGGCTCCCCACTGTTTCTAGACCTTTGTCCCATCTGCCCATCTGTCTGTCCTTCATGAGAAAGCTGAGGGTGTGGGAGGAGCCTGCAGGAGATGCTGCCCCCTTGGCCATGCACTGGCCCCTCCACACTTTCCCCCAGGCGGCCTCAGTCTCCACAGGAGAGTCAGGAAGACAGGGTTAGCCAGAGCCCCAGGGACCCTTCAGAGATCCCTGGTCTCACACATTCCTGGGGTTGCTGTCTTCTTGGTTCTTATACCTTGAAAAGAGACATCTTGATGGTTAAATTATGCTGAGAGCAATGTGCGCTAGCCCTCAAGTTTGTGACAGATGCACACGGCTACTGCAGTCAGCATCGTGCAGACAATGAGCTGTCAGCAGACACCCGTCATGTTTTCTCCTCATGAGCTGCATCCCAGGCAGCCACAGGGGGAAGCGCCCCCATCACAGCCTCAGGGGGCCACATGTGGCACCTTGAAACAGGCATACAGGCTCCAAGTACAAACACAGGTAAGTGCACCTGCTCCCCATCACAGCCTGGGGTGCTGAGCATCCCTCACCACCACCATCACTGAAGAGGGATCTTCCTGACCTTTGTCCTGGGGAAAACCTATGCCATGGCCACAATGGCCTGGGGACATGAGCTGAGACAGGTCACTTGTTTGCTGGGGAAGGCACCTCAGCCCTATGATGTGGGTGTCACTATGAATGTGACCACACAAGGCATGTCCTGGTTGGATAATACACCCAGAGTCTCCATATCCAGACACAGACAAGGGGAGGGGCCTGGCTGGGGACTCCCAGAGGAGTGTCTCTGCTCTGCTGCTGTTACACTTGCTAATTTCTCCAGCCCCGAAACTCTTTGCACAATGAGTGTCTTCATTCCCACCACTGCTGATACTTAGAGGGCAGGAGAGGGCAGCTGGGCACAGCAGTGCCTGCCTTCTTGGGATGTGCCCTTTCCCCACTTGTGGGCATGGCCATGCCTGTAGTGGTTTGAGAGTCCCTGGGGCCTGTGCCCTGGAGCCAGATGTCCCCCTCAGCACAGGGCAAGTGCAGCCACAGCCTGGGGCCACAGAGCACATGTGTGCGGTCAGCACAGTGACCACCAGCATGCTCCTGGCTGGCTGCCAGGAAAGAAACACGGCATCACCCAGCCAGGACAGGCTTGCTATGTGGTGCCCACTAGGGCTCTGGAAAATGGAATAGGGCAACTCAGGAATTACACCCCCAAAACACTGTCCGTGAGACACTATGGACCACAAGCCACCCAGGGGTGATGTCACAATTCAGTTGTCACACAGTAAATGCCTTTGGAGCAGCACCAGTGGTGTCTTTGGGAGGAGCTGCAGGGCACAGACAGGGGACGATGAGGGTGCCAAGTGCACACCTGCAGACCCGCATTTCACACATAAAGGAAGGAGGTACCAGCTCAGGTCCCCAGACCAGGCCGCCTTGGTGTGGGGTGGTCTCTGCCCAGTGCTCACTCAGCTCATGTAGGTGCAGTCCTAAGGCTTCCTGCACCCGCCAAGGGCTTCCATGATGCTGGGCTCCTGCCATGAGATCTCCACAGGGTGGCTGCAGCCTGCAGCAACCTGGCCCAGTCTGTTTGAGGCACCAGCCAGCCTCCTATATCCTGATTGGCCTGGGACACAGGACACAGGTGGGGTGGGGTGCTGGTTGTCTAAACGGCTCCCTGGGGGAGTCAGGAGGGCCACCATGGGGCAGATATAACTTCCACTCACTAGAAACAGCTCTGCAACCTCCTGTCCACAGCAGAGCCAGACGGCTAACTTGGCTGCTGCCTGACACCTTCCTGCCTAAAGGGGCTACCCCTGCAAGTGGCCAAGATGGTGGAGAGCGCCAGTGTACAGACCAACAGGGCTCTGTGGATGGCCTGCCAGCTCACAGCCGTGGCCCTGCCTAGATGGCTCTACAAAGGAGCTCCCCAGAATTGATTCAGCCTGTTTCTAGTGTGTTGTGAATCCAGATGTGGCCAGAGCCAAAGCCAGGCCCTAGGGAAGCAGTTCTCAACCCCTTAGGGGATTGAATGACCCTTTCCCCTTTCATAGGGGTTGCCTATTGAACACATATTTCCAATGGTCTTAGGAACCGAGACACCACTCCTCATGTGTGGGGGTCACCACATGAGGAACTGTATTAAAGGATTACAGCATTAGGAAGGTTGAGAACCACTGCCCTAGGGGAACCTGGGGAACATTGCAGACCAGGCTTGGCCTTGATGGGACGCAGCTGTCAGCAGAAACAGCACAGACACCTGAATTTGGCTATGGGGGCAGAGCCTTTCCAGCTTTACAGAGGCCAAAGCAGGTTCTGGTGCCCAGGACAGCAAGGAGGGCGTTTACATTAGACTGGAAATTTTCAGGGTTTATGGTCTCACCCAAAGCACAAGGCTGGGAGGAGTTAGAACCACACTGGGGTCCTGTTTCCTTGCCTGAACTTCTAGCCAGGCCTGGAAGCATGGCCAGGCACTGGGGCCAGCTCATGTCTTCTACCCAGCTTCCTATGAGCTCACCAACTGCTCTGTACCAGCTTAAAGGAACAGCCCACACAGCTACCAGCAGCTCATTTGAAGTTCATCTGCCACATGGGGACCAGGTACCACAAGTGCGGCTGGGCCAGGACTTTGACTCCAGAAGGATGGCAGGAGTGAGGCCGGTGGCTTCCGCCACTACAAATGCAAGCACCTGCTGTTTACAAACCATCTACAAGTGTGAATGCCTGCTGTTTATAAACCGTCTAATCCCACCTGGGACACCAATGCTAACACTTGCATCCTATTAGCTACCTTGGTTCTTCCTGCAAGTGTCTTGAGGCAGGAATGGCAGTAACACGGGCCGTGAGTGCCAGGACATGCTTCCCACCAAAAAGGCCTCCTGCCCTGGGGTGTGGGCAGGCCATGGCCAGAAGAGACCTCGTGGGATGCCTGCACGGGGTTGTAGGCAGCTGTGCCCCTCTCACTGCAAGGCCCACAGAGCCCAAGCTACAGGCTCCTCCTGTGGTTCAAGCCAGGGCACTCACTGAGACAGTCTCTGCTGTCCTGGGCAACACGTTCACTCCACTAGCACGAGGAAACTTGAGGTGAAATGGGGGGCACAGAGACTGCAGCACCTGAGCGATTAGCTCATGATCTAAACTTATCGTAGAAGGCAGAGGGATGAGATTCATGCTATGTTCAAAGCGTGTTCGCAAAGGAGAGGCGGCCACAGGGCTTGTGCTCAGCTCCACACATGACCATCTGTGAGACACACGGATGGAGGTGTCACTGTGCAGACCTGGCAGTGGAACTGTCGCCTTGAATCCTGAAGCCTCGTGCTTGGTGTCCACTTTTGCAGGGCACTGAGGCCTGTTCCAAGTCTGGAGTCACCCAAGGCCGCTGCAGCGTCTGCTGGGGAGCCTGGTCCTGGGGGTAGTTTTCCTTCCAATGGGGACTTGGTGTTTCCAGGGACAGACCCAGGGCAGCAAGGCAGGGACCTGCCACCACAAAGCCCATGCCAGGATAGCCTGCGGGCAGAGAGCCTGGAGGATGTTCCTGGCAAATCCCATGTGGCACTGGTGGGGGGCGAGCTGCACAGGGTACCCTTGGCTGTGAAGCCCAGGCTGTTCCTGAGGAGGGGCAGGCCAAGCAGGGTCCATCTGCCTGCAAAGCCCAAGCCGTTCCGGCTCTGAGGGGCCCTGGTCTCTGCCAGGGCTTAGTTAAATGGGGCAACTGACCTTAGCTATCAGGCCCCAGAACAGCCTGGTCAAACAGACCAAAAACATGCCACAAATGATATTGATGAGTGCAGCTCCACTCTACACTGAGCCCGTGACTTAGCCTCCTGGTGGCTTATGGGCAGCAGCAGATCTCAGGTTCCTGACTCTGATCAGATGCACAGAGCGACCTTTCAGAGGGGCTGGGGAGTGGCCAGAGATGCTTGGGAGCTCTCAGGCTCCCAGGCAGACAGGCAGGCCTATCTCCAGGTTCACGGGTCATGGTCAACTAGTTCAGAACTTTCCGTAGGTCCTACTCATCTTGGTGCCCAGGCTCCCCAGGTGTCATTAGCCTCCCTGCTGGCTCACACTTCTTTTGGTTTTGGTGCCCTCAGATTTCAAGGCATGATGCCCTTCCTACCCCTTGTCCCTGCTGACTGCCACATGGTGCAGCTGCTTTCCATGAAGGTGCCCTTGATATCCCAGCTGGCCCTCTCTGGACACCTGCCTGGCCCTCTGAGCTTCCCGGCCACCTTCTGCAGGGACGGACACACCCAACTCAACAGGGCCTGAAACACATGGTCTTTCCTTCGAGCATTTGGATCCTGAAGTTCATTCCTCATTTGTCCACCTCCTGCCTCTGCTTCCGGCAGGCACAGCCTCCCACGGCCAAACTCTTCCCATGTTAAAATGCGAGGCCCCAGGTAGCTCCCCCATGTGTGAGGTTAAGGTGGCTGTGCCTCCCAAACCCTGCCCATGTTAAAAT